TTGCAGACTAAGAACCGAGGAAGAGTTACCCCGGTCAGATAGGTAATCCCAGTCACGCTTGAGCGGACGGAATTAAGGGGCAATTGAGAGGGAGATTAATGATCTGGCACTGGGCCGGACAGATCTAGGCCAGATAGAGTTTTGCCGGATAGATTTGGGTCGGGAAAGTGTTGGGCCGAGGATGTGTGGCCCAGTTTGGAAAGAAGTTGCTCGGTTAAGGCAACGCTTGGTTGGACCGAGCTACATGTTTGGCGGAGGCGAAGCCAGTCAAGTTAAGTGACCGGATATTAATACATACATTATGGACCGAGGTACCTTTTTGCTCGGCAGGAAGGTTGACCGCAGACAAGCGTGAGTTGTCCCGAGCTCGGCTTTGCCGAGATGCCGCCAAGTTTGGTCCTCATCTGAGCTTAGCTGTTGGAGTACTTGGGCATGAAGCGCAGCATGGCAGACGATGGCCGACATGGAACTGCCCGGCTGCCGAGCTCCCAGGAGAATGGGCAGGCAGTTGGGTTAGGTGGTGCTCAGCAAGGTTTATGCTGATAGATGAGATAACAGTGCCACGTGTTGAGAGGTCACTGGGAGTAGATTTGGGGCGCAGAAGGTATATAAGCACGTCTGCGCCCCCCATACGCGGACAGATGAACATTTGGTGAGACATACACTAAACACTCAACACTCTCCCTTCTCTCTATCTATCCCCTGGTGTGTGTTCTAACTTGACCGTCAGAGGGGTTTTCCGGCCACACACCGCCGGGTAGCTCACCGCCTTTGTGTACGCAGGTGATCGGATAGAAGCGGAGCTTGGAAGAAAGGAGTACGGGCTTGCCTGAATATTTGCTCCCCGTACACACATCTTTTAGGAACAAAAATATCTCAATATACACATTTTTAAGTGCCAAAATTTATAATTTTGTTCGGCTATAGAGTGCCAAATTATTTCCTTTTTTTCAGCTTTGTACAACCGAATGAAAATTGTTTTCTTCAGATCACATCCACTAAAGAAACTGAGGTTCGATCGGATATTATGGTGGATTTTACTAGTCATTTTACTGCTAAACAGGTAACGTTTAACATGAAATTCGTAAGTTCATAATTTTTATTAATTAGTTTGTTTAGTTTGTTCTTATGAAAGTTGTGTGACATTATATATAGTTATATATAGGTTTTCGACAGCAAAGATGAATTGCTCACTTGGGTACGTGATATTGGAAGGGCAAATGGCTTTGTTATTGTTATAAGGACGTCGGACTATGGTGGCGGTACCAAGAGACCAAAAATTTATCTTGCTTGTGAGCGGAGTGGGAAGTATAGATCACGTAAATAGTTGAAAGATGGCTAAAAAGACTTATTGAGACAAACTGGTACAGAGAAGTGCGAATGTCCATTTGATTTGAAGGCATAAAAGTTGAAAACAAACGATGAATAGATATTGAATGTCGTTTGCGGATTGCATAATCATCGAGCTGCGGAGCATCTCCGAGGACATTCATATTCAGGGAGATTGTCAGCTAATGAAAAGTCGTTGTTAGTAGATATGTCAAAGAGCCTAGTAAGACCAAAAGAGATACTCATTACACTCAAACAGAGGGATGCCCTTAATATGAGCACAATGAAGACAATTTATAATGTACAACATCGATGTAGGGTTCTACAGAAAGCTGGTAGATCCCAGATGCAACAACTACTGGGTGAATTAGAAAAACATAAGTACATTGAGCGTTATCAATGTGAGGAAGGCTCTATGACTGTCACAGACTTGTTTTGGGCACATCTAGTGAGTTCGGATTTGCTTCGTACATTCCGTCGTGTGTTGATTATGGATTGCACATATAAGACAAATAGATATCGGCTTCCTCTTCTTGAAATTGTGGGAGTGACATCAACTCATATGACATTCTCCGTGGCTATCGCATACTTACAAACTAAGCGGGTTGATGATTATGCATGGGCGTTACAAACAATGCGTGATCTTATAGACAACAGTGTTTTACCTGAAGTCATTGTCACAGACAGAGAGCTTGCTTTGATGAATGCCAATGACAACACTTTTTCGAATGCTCGACATTTGTTATGTCGTTGGCATATTAATAAGAATGTATTGACGAAATGCAAGAATTTGAGACAAAAGAAAAATGGGACAAGTTTAACACTACATGGAACTATGTGGTATTGCCATCGATTGAAGAGGAATATAATGATCACCTTGCAACACTGCATAAGGATTTCAGTAACTATTCGGAGGCAATCAAGTATGTTACAGTGAGTTGGTTGAATCCATATCAAGAAAAATTCATTGTGGTACATACAAACACGTGTATGCATTTTGGCAATGTTACAACCAATCAGTAATATTTGTTTTTTTTTATTTCTTATAAATCATATTGCTATTTTTAATTATTATGCTTGACTATTTTTGTTTAGATCCATATGAACAAGGTTGAGAGTGATCATGCTAGATTGAAGAGGCAATTAGGCTCAATTCAACAACATTTGAGATTTCATTTGAAAAAATACGTTGTCTACTTGAGTTGCAGCACATTCAAGTTAAAGCATCAATCGAGAAGAGTTTGACAACTATGCAACATCAATTCAAACCTTCTCAATTCAGAGAGCTCCAGGGTAATGTGTCTATTTATGCATTGAAGTACGTGTTGGCAAAGAGTAAGAGAGCAAATTCAGTTGGAATTGATGTTGCAACATGTAGGTGTGTTCTTAGGGGCACACATGGTTTATCTTGTGCTCACGAGATTGCAGATTACATGAGACAAGGCCGTCCTATTCCAGTCAGAAGCATACATGTACATTGGATGTGACTTACTATATGTGTGCATAATCCGAAGGTTGAGAAATTGGAATTGACTTGTATTCCAGAACTTGAGATGATTTTGAAGCGGTTCAATGAGTCTGATATTGCCATGAAATTAGATATGTAGAAGAAGTTGAGGAAAATTACAAATCCAGCAAGCACTTTTCTTATTGAGCTTGATGTGAAACCTAATCCACGTCGAGGACATAAGAAAACTGATATATCTTGTCATCGTGACCCGTGTGCATTTGAGTTGGTTGACGATGGCCATGATAGCCAGAGCACATTAGCTTCCAGTCAATCAAAGAAAAAGAGAGCTTCGAAAGTGCTTGATAAGATAGAATGTGAAGACAAAGACATATCGTACAAGAACAAGTTTACCAAGTGCATATGCTGGTAACTTCCCACCTATGTTAATACCATTCATAAAGTTGATGAAGGATGTAGATGATGATGGGAATTGTGGTTTTAGAGCTATTGCGAGTTTACTTGTTCTTGGAAAGAATGACTGGGTGAAAGTTAGGCGTGATCTGCTATTTGAATTGAACAATTACAAAGATGAATACGTCGTACTATACGGGTCGCAAGAGAGGGTTGAGGAGCTGACATACATCCTTTCATATTTTGAAGATAGCGCTTGCTTTGATAGTTGGATGACTATGCCTGACATGGGACATCTTATTGCATCATTTTATAATGTAGCCTTGTACCATTTGTCATTGCAACAGTGTTTGACTTTCTTACCTTTGAGATCACCGCCAGTAACCCTAGCTGATTGTCGTGAGATTGCCATTGGATTTGTCAATGGAAATCATTTTGTGCAAGTATAAGTTATGAAAATAACGGTACATTGTTGTTTAATATTTGTGTAATTGCAAATTTGATGGATTTAGTAAAGATGTGTAAAATTTTTGGATGTACGTGCAGGTATTTTTAAAGGCCGGTCATCCAGTTCCTCCCATTGCTGTGCTTTGGCGAGTTCACCATCACCCTTGTGCATCAGAATGAGAGAATGCATATGTTAGCTACATTAAAAAATTCAAAGATAACATAGGACGTAATGTAGCTACTCGGGAGACATTTGATGTAGTTGACATAGATTGATGTATTAGAGAGTAGTCATGAGAGATTTAAGACTTTAGAGAGCAGTCATTAGTTTTTATGATTTACTAGTTCACATAGATTGATGTAATGGTCATTTTTTTTTTAAATACAATATCATATGAGTTATAGTTCTCTTATTTATGGAATAGATGTCATATTATTTTTACATTGTCTGAACGCAAAACAAAATGAAAATAATATTAACCAAGTGCAACTATTGTTAAAGATTTTTCGTTTTAAACAATAAGTATGTAAGACGAACTAGTAATATTAACTAGTAGTTCAATCCATCAACATCATCACAAAATACATGCCTCCGTATACATAATCCAAGAAGTACATAATCCAAAGATGATAATAATATTTGTCTTCTTATACCCACTAGCACCATCAGAAACCATATGTGCTAGCATTATGAACTACTATCAACTACGTGACCGGCGAGTGTAATGTGCTCCAAAACGATGTGTAGAAGAACAACTAGGTATAGACCGACCCTGAGCGGATGTGTTAGGCACAGCTTCACTAATGTGTTGATCTTGAAGAAACTGTTCAATTGCATCAATTGCATAGTAAAGTCTATCAGGATGTTAAACAATGTCCTCATAGCTAGCCTCAACGAAAGGATGAGTAATCTGATATATCTGTGACATACGCTACATTACAAGAACAAATACAACATTATACACAAACCTATAATAGTTTACATAAATAATTTGTAATAGTGCTCCTAAAAAAACAAAGAATCTGTGCATCTTGGCTAAGATACTGATAATGATGAATATTTGGGTCCACCTGAGAATGACGCGCAGGGTTTTGAACATACATATGGGTAATGGTTTGGTACCAATCCATGTAACCAGGAACACAATCCCAAGGCTGTTGTACCGATGTACTCCTCCTTTGATCAGATAACACATGGTTATCCCACGCCTCCCAAATGATGTCTAAGTATGCATACATAACATTGTAGCGTGGAGCTGTGGCTGCTCGAGAGGCACGCATAGGGCCAAGTGGTGGATTAGGGATTGTTTGCACTCTGCCAAACTGTCTCAAAACTCTATCAGGGTGATATGGTTCAACTACTTCCAAACACTTTAGGCAATCATGGTAGAACGTAACTAGGTGACATGGACGGACATCTCTGTAACTCTGGTACGGGTCCTAAATAACCTACAAACAATAACAATTGTAAGATATGAAAACTATAAATTTTGTATGATATTGAGTTTCAAATTTTGAAGGACTTTCTAACTTACATCATGTACACTCAACCTATCAAGCTCCTGTCGAAAAGCCTGCAACTATGTCTCTTCACCAGACTCTCTCCGAGAAGTCCAACGGTAAACATGTGGCATGTCTCGAGTGTAATTCATATTCAAGTGTGGTCGGAATCCACGAAAGTAATCATAAATCCATCCCTCAAGAAGTGTCATGTAACCGGCTATTTGTTTTATGCCGGACCTACTAGCGTGCCCCATCTGTCTATATAAGTATGCCAATACAGCAACACCCCAAGCATATGAAGATACAATCGTCAAATCGGACAACAAACTCAAATAAACAGCGGGGACCCTAGTACTAGTCTTGTCACTGAAAAGTGTACAACCCAACAAAAATAGCAAGTATGCTCTACCTGCACATGCAATTCTTTCCATTGAATCATTGTCTGTGACATTATGAAAGTATGCCATCAGCCACTCAAGCCTCACTGAATTGTTTCCAACACTAGACATCTCATGTCTAACCTCTTGCTCATTAATTTCCAAGGTATTAACTACTAATGTAATGGCCCACCTTTCTGACAACTTACGCACACTAATAGATTTGCCTACAATGGGAAGCCCTAGGATAGTGGCGACATCATCCAATGTGATAGTCATCTCTCCAACAGTCAAATGGAAGGTGTTTGTCTCCGATTGTCATCTCTCAACAAAACTAGACATTACAATTTTGTTGACAAAACGGTACGTGCAACGAGCTAATTATGCAAGTTTTGATATCTCCACAATGTTTACAAATGTAGCTTTGTTTCCTTATTCCTGCCATAGCCACGAACAAATCTTAGACGAGTGATTATGACACTTCAAGGGCCCCCTTTCATCAGCACCATTCCAAATAGCTGCAGCAACATGACTTTTAAAACTTTTAAGGATTGATGGGTCAGTTGGCCCTCCCATAAATGGCTGAGTAAGGATATCTTCATCAACAATGTTAGCATCATCACCAGTAGGGTCATCATCCATAGCAATATCATCCATAAAAAAAAAAAGTACCTGTGCGTCTTGGCTAGGATACTGATAATGATGAATATTTGGGTCCACCTGAGAATGACGCGTAGGGTTTTGAACATATTGGTACCAATCCATGTAACCAGGAACACAATCCCAAGGCTGTTGTACCGATGTACTCCTCCTCCGATCAGATAACACATGGTTATTCCACGCCTCCCAAATGATGTCTGAGTATGCATACATAACATTGTAGCGTGGAGCTGTGGCTGCTCGAGAGGCACGCATAGGGCCAAGTGGTGGATTAAGGATTGTTTACACTCTGCCAAACTGTCTCAAAACTCTATCAAGGTGATATGGTTCAACTACTTCCAAACACTTTAGGCAATCATGGTAGAACGTAACTAGGTGACATGGACGGACATCTCTGTAACTCTGGTACGGGTCCTAAATAACCTACAAACAATAACAATTGTAAGATATGAAAACTATAAATTTTGTATGATATTGAGTTTCAAATTTTGAAGGACTTTCTAACTTACATCATGTACACTCAACCTATCAAGCTCCTGTCGAAAAGCCTGCAACTATGTCTCTTCACCAGACTCTCTCCGAGAAGTCCAACGGTAAACATGTGGCATGTCTCGAGTGTAATTCATATTCAAGTGTGGTCGGAATCCACGAAAGTAATCATAAATCCATCCCTCAAGAAGTGTCATGTAACCGGCTATTTGTTTTATGCCGGACCTACTAGCGTGCCCCATCTGTCTATATAAGTATGCCAATACAGCAACACCCCAAGCATATGAAGATACAATCGTCAAATCGGACAACAAACTCAAATAAACAGCGGGGACCCTAGTACTAGTCTTGTCACTGAAAAGTGTACAACCTAACAAAAATAGCAAGTATGCTCTACCTGCACATGCAATTCTTTCCATTAAATCATTGTCTGTGACATTATGAAAGTATGCCATCAGCCACTCAAGCCTCAGTGAATTGTTTCCAACACTAGACATCTCATGTCTAACCTCTTGCTCATTAATTTCCAAGGTATTAACTACTAATGTAATGGCCCACCTTTCTGACAACTTACGCACACTAATAGATTTACCTACAATGGGAAGCCCTAGGATAGTGGCGACATCGTCCAATGTGATAGTCATCTCTCCAATAGTCAAATGGAAGGTGTTTGTCTTCGATTGTCATCTCTCAACAAAACTAGACATTACAATTTTATTGACAAAACGGTACGTGCAACGAGCTAATTATGCAAGTTCTGATATCTCCACAGTGTTTACAAATGTAGCTTTGTTTCCTTATTCCTGCCATAGCCACAAACAAATCTTAGACGAGTGATTATGACACTTCAAGGGCCCCCTTTCATCAGCACCATTCCAAATAGCTGCAGCAACATGACTTTAAAACTTTTAAGGATTGATGGGTTAGTTGGCCCTCCCAGAAATGGCTGAGTAATGATATCTTCATCAACAATGTTAGCATCATCACTAGTAGGGTCATCATCCATAACTGGTGCATCTTGTATAGGATCATCATCCATGGCAATGTGTGTGTCATCATGATGCACTCGAGCACGTCCATGTCCACGTCTCTCTAATTCCCGGAGTCTTCTATTCAAAGCTGTTACTGACTGACGTTGACTGGGACTGGCATCCATCTGCATAAGGAAAATTGTTCTCATCAACCCAATATAATGAAACAGTATAAACACTCTCAGAAAAGGATAACATCAATGCGGGTAATAAGTAACCTAACCATGCCACCTTAATGAAATCTAATATGCAGTTATAGACCATTAAATTGAAAATTTGGGTGATGTGAACTTAAGAAAATAAGTTAAGGACATAACCTTACTACTGATGAAAGAGTGAGACTAAGATTTGTTGAAAAATTATAATGTAAACATGGATATAGCAAAACTATTTGTATTCTATACAGACCATTCACCAATTAGTTTGGTAATGTTCACAACATGTCAAAAACATATTAACTTCACTTCGGACAATTTACCAAGGCAGCAGGGTCATTAATCAATACCAACATCATTTTTCAAACAATCAAAGGACTGCCCATCACTTGTCTTTGTACATTCTATTTGATTGTAAATTTGTTGTAGCTGTAAGTATACAACCAAACACCAAATTTGGCCCCAATTTCAATGTTTTGAAAGGACAAACTCCTAATGTTCTATGTAATGCAATTGTTTTGTTCAGCTATTAAGGTAACAGCATTTTTGAAGACCTATGTTTAACTACTTAAGCTAACAATATAATGTGAAAATACCAATACTGCACAAATTTTTGTTTCTATTGTTATGCATTGAATTTTGCAAAAAATAAATAAATACATAAACATACCCATAAAATAAAATTGTTGGAAAAACCTACAGTAAAACCAATCTTGGTAGGCTATGTAACTTATGTAACTTGGTGATTCGGAACTATTGGACCGAAAAAATATACCAAATTCGGCAGAAAAACTTCAAAATTTTGTATTTTGTTCGGTTTTGATAAGTCGAAAATGTACCCATTATTCGGTTATTAAGTTCTGAATTAAAAAAATTCGGAAACCCAGTCCCGAAAGCTCCAACCCGGACAGCCATGGAAAAATCGATGTTTTATATGCCAATGGAGTGCAGATATATCCGAAAAT